GCTGTAGGGGTGGGGGTGTTGGTGGGGGAGGTTCGCACCTTGTAATTGTGAGCCATCCATGAAAACGGAGGTGTAAATGGGGGTGGGGGTTGGGAGGGGAGGGAGAAATGGAGGTTGTGGTGGTAGGGGACGTCTCTGGTTTATTTTTACCACGTCTTTCTGTCTCTCTGTCTATCTATATCTCCTTCTCGTTCTCTCTCTCTTTCTCTCTCTCCCTCTCTCTCTCTCTCTCTCTTTATGTCTCTGTTTCTCTCTCCTTCTCTCCATCTTTTGGCCTATCTCTAACTCTCTCTCACCCAAACAAGAATCAGCTCTTGTAATCGCTGTACGACATAACCAACGTTTTAGTGTTCTAATCAAGGCCGCTTCAAAAGCTGTCTTTATTGATTTCAACAGGGCAGTGAACTCGTACAAAACAGAAATAAAATATGTTTTCAGGGCAACATAAAGCCCAAACAATTTTGAGGTATGACTCGATTATTAATTTCCTCTCTGTCGTTTTTCATTTTAAACTGGAAAGAGTGAGAAAAGGAAAATAATAATATAATAATTAGACAGAAAAAAACATTAAAAGGGTTTCCTTTTGAATTAGTGTTCATATTTTGTTTACCTGTAATACTATTTCAAACAAATGACTTTCTTTTTTATCGACGTTTCTCACAAGTATAAATAAACAAACGGGTGCACATGAGCGGAAACACATTATCGCTCACAGGGTAACATGATTGTTCAGGAACTCTTGAACCGCCCTGACATTCAGCTGTTACCACCAGAAGAGGCTAACCAACAAAAGAATGAGTCGTTCCTTATGACCCTGATATACTCCGTGGAGATGGGAAAATCCCTAAGCAAAAAGGGGTGAGGTTTTGGTTGTATTACAAGTAAGCTTCTCTCCTTTTTTTTCGTTTCTTTTTTTTATTTTTTATTTACACCCGCTTTCATAAACGCTTCTTGTTTTGTTCCTCCAAACACGAGCCAGACCATACCACAACAGATGGTGTCAGCTGTGGTCGTTGAATGAATCCTCACCCCCCCCCCCTTCCCCCCCAACCCCACCCTTTTCCCTCCTATTCTGTTCTGGGATATAATTATTTCTCCGTTTGTTTTACTTATTCGCGTCATTTTTTGTCCTTGCCATTATCGTTGAGTTTGAGCTATCGTCAACAACACTGTAACAGCTGTCGGGGAGAAGCGTTGTTTCCATTTTGATTGTATATTTTGTAATATGATGGGAGAAATGATAATAATATGTGTATGGGTTATTTAAAAAACTAATAAAAAGAGGAAAAACAGTCATTCTAATTATTAACAAACACTGCCGATTTCATTATGCAGATTACATCCGTTTGGTCTCGGTTTTTCTTTTCTGTCAGTGTCAGCTTGACTAGGAATTGTGACATTACATACCACTCGTCAATGATCGATTTTGGACAAACAACACAGCCCTCAGCAAGGTGTTGCGGGGAAAAGGACCTCAAATAATTTAAGATGCATTACGTTACGCTTAAAAATAATATACATGTACTTGCATTCCCCTGTCTCGTCATAAATAAGTAATGGCGTTGACAAAAAAACGAGATCTCTTAAATAAGTGCCATGGCCGCATAGAGCTCTTGACGACTAAGAACTGTGAGCGCCGATCTTGCTAACATTTTAAAGATATACCGAGCATAAGTTCGGAAAGGAAAGCCTTTTTTATTAGTACTAGATGTACGTCAACTAATAAGGAGAGCATACATACGTATTCTACATAAAATGGGTCGACCCTCAAACTGAAGCTGTTTGATTTTAATGTGCATTCCGTTCAACCGACGCACGCACAACCTTGCACAATAAAGTGAAGAAAGTGATGATCTTAAAAGTTGAACACAGCTGAAAACAGCAGAGACTCACTTAGAAAATAGACCACATGGCCTAGTGGATATCACCAAATGAAAAAAGGGCAAGCGG